CGTTGGAGATCTTCTAGTTTAACCTGCTACTAAGGCAGGAAACTCTACACCACTTCAGACAAATGGTTATCCAACATCTTCTTAAAAACTTCCAGTGTTGGGGCATTCACAACTTCTGGATCCACTGATTGTTCTAACTGTCAGGAAATTTCTTCTTAGTTCTAGGTTGCTTCTTTCCTTGATTAGTTTCCACACATTGCTTCTTGTTCTACCCTCAGGTGCCTTGGAGAATAGCTTGACTCCCTCTTTGTGGCAGCCCCTGAGATATTGGAACACTGCTATCATGTCTCCCCTGTCCTTCTTTTCATTAAACTAGACATACCCAGTTCCTGCAACCGTTCTTCATATGTTTTATTTGGGAGGAGAAGGCTAAAATATATGATGATTGATTTCAAAAACTGGGTATGTTTAGTGAAAAGAAAGACTAGGATTGACTTGACAGCACTTTCAATATCTATCTCTCATTCTGCAAAGTATCTGAAGGCAGGACAAGGTGCAATGGATGGAAACTAATCAAAGAGAAAACCAACCTGGAATTAAGTAGAAATTTCTTGACAGATCAATTAACCAGTGGTACAACTTGCCACAAGAAGTTGTGGGTTCGCCATCCCTGGAGGTTTTCAAGAAGAGATTGGACTGCCATTTATCTGAGATTGGTATAAAGTCTCCTGCTTGAGCAGCAAGTTAGACAAGAAGACCTCCAAGGCTCCTTCCAACTCTGTTCTGTTAAATATTCTGTTAATTAATGTTATTCTGTCATTCTGTTACTCTGTTAGTTATTCTGTCACTCTGTCATTCTGTTAACTGCTCTTTTACTATTGAATCTTGAGTTCTATATGGAAATGTAGCTGCTTTTCATATTGAAACAAGATCTGCCTTCAACGTTTTAAAGAATTCACCCTACCTGGAATTGAAAACTTCTCTATTTGAAAGAAAAAAAATGCTTTGTTTTGTATATATAAAGATGCATCCTACATAAAACATATCTTGTAATTTTGTAGAACTACTGCTCCACCAGTTTCCCATGTTCAACATCAGCATCCCCATATAGAGGGACGAGAAAAACCTGTGTAGGACATGCCTAACTTTTTTTCTCCTCCTTGAAACCCAAGAATTTCTTGCTCACCGGCTAATAAAAGGTTGGATATTCCTTCCAGTTAGTGGCTCCATGCTCATTGGCATCGGCTCAGGAGTGGAAAGCCAATAAGAGTAGTCATTCCTAGATGCAAAGTTACACACGTTGTTGATGTTGCAAAACATGAAGGGCATGGTGCTGAAACGGCGGAGACAGCTGCCAGCAGTGCCTAGTAAACAAAAGATGCCATATGAATGAGATGTGAAACAGGTTTTCTCCTTCCTTCCTTCCTTCCTTCCTTCCTTCCTTCCTTCCTTCCTTCCTTCCTTCCTTCCTTCCTTTTTTCCTTCCTCAACCTCCCCTTGCACATATGTGCTATTTGTTCCGGACTCTACGGGCCGGTGCTCATCTCTGTTTCAAAGCCGAAGAGCCAGCACTGTCCGAAGATGTCTCCATGGTCATGTGGCCGGCATGACTCAACAGCAAAGGTCCATGGAACGCTGTTACCTTCCCACCAAAGGTGGTTCCTATTTTTCTACTTGCATTTTTTATGTGCTTTTGAACTGCTAGGTTGGCTGAGGGTGGGACAAGTAATGGGAGCTCTCTCTTAAGCAGTGCTAGGGATTCGAACCTCCGAACTGCTGACCTTTTTTTATTGACAAGCTCAACATCTTAGACACTGAGCCACTGCATCCCTCCAGCTATCTTACCAGAGGGTAGCTCTGGGCAGCTCCTGATATTATAAAGATAAATATAAATAAAATACTACAAAAATACAAAATACTGTACAATACACAGCCCTAGCTAAAAGATGGGGAGGGAGTAGGATGAGCATGGGTGAAGGCGGGATCTGTTATTGATCCATCAACCACTCTTAATGTGAAGCTCCTCCTTTGCTTTCTGTATCAGGAGACTAGCTCTTCTCAATCTGGCATGCCATAACTATGTTAAGACTACAGCTCCCAGAATTCCTAGCCAAGGAGTGGCAGTGGATGTACAGAATGCCAGGTTGGTCAATGTTACGACCAAGGTTCTTAACACCATCCTCACATATTTCATGGTTCTACTTCTGGGAGAGATGCAGGTGCCATCTCAATGGATGATCAAGTGGGCTCGGATGAGGAAGACGAGAGGCTTTAGGTACAGCCCCCACCCAGATGGAAGGGGTTTATTTTGCAAGACTCTCATGGATGCAGTGAGAGAAGGAATCTCCTGTCAGGCCTCCAGTCATATTCCTTTTAGGATTTTTGGCCTGACACACTCTTTCCTCTTTTACTATGCTGTTTCATTAGTGGGAGGGGGAATAGTAAGGAGTATAATTTTGTTGTCAAAATAAAACATTCCTTTCTAGAAGCTCAAGCTCATTCTTTGTCTCTGCACCTGACCGGAAGTGGATGAGTTGAGATGCTAGCATAGCAGTGGAAGATTGGACCATGTGATGGACTTGTGGGTGTGGGGNGCAGCAGAACAAGCTGGTAGCTGCCCCTCCCTGCCCCGCTCACCTCCGAGTATCCCTGCCGGAGCGCCTGGTCCTCCAAGGTGCGCAGCGTGTTGACGTACTCCGGGGGCAGGATGTAGTTGAAGGCACACAGGCCCTGGCCCAGCTTGATGTAGAGACCCCCGTTCTGGATGGCCCCGAAGACGATGCTGTCGGCCGAGCGCTGGTGGCACCTGGAGACGGCAGCCGCGTACTCCGGGCTGTTCTGACCACAGGGAAGAGGGGCGAGGAAGAGCAGGTGGTTAGATCCTTCCCAGCAGATCTCACAGTGCCGGCATAGAGAACCGGACTGGCTGCCCCCCTCTCCACCTCCACTCCCAAGTAGAGGTAGGGGGTGGGGGGAGAGGCAGGCTATCCTGGGAGACCTGTGATCTTCCAGAGGAGAAGGATTTCCGAGCTGCCACCCTCCCCTGCCTGGATTACGACGGTCATAAGCCAGGGAGGGAGCCAGCTGGAGGTTTGAACGTGCAACTTGGGAGCAGTTTCTTCTCCTCCTCCTCCTCCTCCTCCTCCTCCTCCTCTTTTGCTGCTGTGCAATCTTCTCCTCTTTTTTTATATGAAGTTTTTTTATTTTTTCATTTTCATAACAAATAACCACATGTATACTGTTACATAAACAGCACTATTTTGTATTATTAAATAATTATATCAATTCGTCTTACCATCCACCCCCAAGAACTGTTATTGGCTTTTCTGCTCTCCATAACACCATATTTGTACCCTATCCATCGCTTTCTTCTCCCTCTCTCCTCCTCCTCCCCGCCTCCTTTCTTCCCTCTGTCATCCTTCTCTACTTCCCCTTCCTCTCTCCTGCTCTCTCCACTCCTCCTCTCTATCCTCCTCTTCCCCCCGCTCTCTGCCCTCTCTCCTAACCCTCTCTTCTTCCCTGTCCTCTCTCCTCTCTTCCACACTCTTCATCTCATTTACATGGTGCATTTCAGCCTCTGAGCGGGCTCCGTTTTAGGTTGGCGGTGTTTATAATTCCATTTCAATAAACGTCTTTTAATTTTAACGTATATCCTCCTCCTCTTCTGTTGGCTGTGCAATCCACCCTTCTTCTTTTTTCTACACTGAGCAAACAGGACTTCTGTACCCAGCTCTATGTGGCAGACTTTTTAAGCCGGCTTGAGCCGAGGTGGCGCCGTGGTTAAATGCAGCACTGCAGGCTACTTCAGCTATCTGCAGTTCGGCTGTTCAAATCTCACCAGCTCAGGGTTGACTCAGCCTTCCATCCTTCCGAGGTGGGTGAAATGAGGACCCGGATTGTTGGGGGCGATATGCTGACTCTGTAAACCGCTTAGAGAGGGCTGAAAGCCCTATGAAGCGGTATGTAAGTCTAACTGCTATTGCTATTGGAAGTATGCTGCCACCTGGATTGCTCTCTAGGCTTGAGGGATCCGTTTTCCAAAGCTTGACAAGCAACTGTACCTTATCCAGGCCTCTCAAGACGATGTGATTGGTCCACCAGTAATCCAAGGAGATCTGGAGTCCCAGCCGCAGGGACCTTCAGGAAGAGAGAGAAAGGGAGCTCAGGATGGTCCCTTCAGCCCAGCTGCTCAGTGCCCACCCCGGGGGGGCTTGGGGGGGGCAAAGCTAGGGGGGGTCTGGCTTCCTTAGTACAGCTGAAGGTTTCATGAGGTCATCTAGACAGGGAGGTCTCCAACCTGGGCCCCTTTAAGTCTTGGGGACTTCAACTCCCA